CTGACATACTGAGCCCAGGCAGGCTGCCTGCCATGGGCCATCCCAGCTTTGCCTCCATTTCCCTACTTGCTCTCATACAAGAGCCCTGGTGGATGCACTCCTGGAAGGAGGCTGACCTTCCCTTCCCAGTCCCATGCTGGCCTGTGATTCCGCTATTTCCTGTCTAGCTGCCAGCATGGCCACTGGTAGACCCCGTGCTCAGCAAATTTGAATCCCCAGTGCCAGTCCCCGCTCCACACACCATCACTCAGGGACTCCCGTCCGCAGTGCAATGCTTTCTTCTTCCCCAGCCCCAGCCGAAGAGGCCACAGATGGCACCCCTCTGCCCTCGAGCCAGAACCCACCCAGGGCCATACACCATGGGCTCAGCAGCTCTACCTGTGTGCCAGCCGTGCCCTGCCAAAGATCATGAAGAAAAGATGTGAGGGGTGGTGTCCTGAGCTCACTTCCTGGTCTGGTCACAGTCCTGTGCCCAAACTGGGGTGGGCAACAGGTTTTCTAGGAGGGAGAGTTAGCGGGGTGGCAAGGAGGCCCTCCCTCCCTTCCAGTGTCAGGACCCACACTGGGTGTGGTGAGGAATTTCGGCCTTCAGGAAGTCCTGGATCTGGATAAGAGAACCCAGCCCTCCGTCTCCCAGCCTGGCCGCTCAGCTGCACACAAGCCACATGAGATGATACCAATATGATGCAAAGAAGATACCACAAAATGGTGCCAGGTTCCCGGGCCCCACAGGCAGAGCCCACTGTATTCAGGCCCAGAGCCCTCCTGCCACAAGCATAGTAATTCAGCTCCCAGCTCTGTCCCACTCTGGCCACCTCAGGACAAACAATGACAAACACAGCAATGTCTTCACCTACTGGCCTCAAGCCCACCTTGAGCTGTGTGTTCTTCCCAAACACTTCCTCACCCCACCTTTGCATTCACCTTATGAAGCACATGGAATCATGTCCCCACATCACAGACGCTGAGGCACGTGTGGCTCAGGGAGGCCCCGGACATGGACCACCATTCCATTCCCTGCCTCTTTATCCAGAGGCAAACCCTTCAACACCCTGCTCAAATGTCCACCCCTTTCTCTGACTGCCTACCTTGCACCCTCCTCACTGGACTCCTTTCTTCCTCCTTCCTTCTTCCTTTCCTCTCTCCCTCCTTCCCTTCCTTTCTTCTCCTCTCTCTCACTTCCCTAATAATAGCAATTTTTTTTTGAGTAGTTTCTAAGTGGCAGGAGTTAGTGTTAACATTCACAGGTACGAGCTCATTGAACCCCACAATGGAGGTACAGTCACACCCTATATGCTGTGGCACACGGGTCCGAGGAACTGAGCTGTGTGCAGTGCTCTCTCTCCAGCCAGAGACTATGGTCACCGAAGTCTGCATGTGAAGCTGGGAAACTGTCTGCAGGATGCAACGTGCCCTTGCAGGCCTGCTGCGGCCCAGCACTGAACCCCACAGCAGGCAGCCCCTGCCTGCCTTCTCCACTTCTCCCCACCTGTGTCCCTGTCCCCCAACGGGGACTCCTCTGCGGCCTGAAACGCTCAGCATTTCCTCCCACTAGCTGTCTCGGTGCGCCCCCCCCACCCCCACCCCCACACAGTACGGCTAGGACTGGCTCTGTTTGGAGACCCTCCCTCTGTCAGCTGCCCTGTTGGGTCCAAGTTGTCTGAAGCCTTGTCTAGCCAAGACAGAAGCCTTGTTCTCCCTGCCACCCTTCTTCATCGCTCAGCACAGCAGTGCACAGGCCAGAAATAGGCCCCAGCAAGAAAGGCCCAGAGTGAGGGTGCACAGGGTCCCCAGAGAGACTCCCAGCCCAGCAGACCTGAATTTGGAATCAACCCAAACTGGCTTTGCAAACCAGAAAGTGCCATTGCATGCATATTTGAGATACTCACTTCATTATTTATTATTACATAGACTAGTGTATATTGAGATGCAAGAGCTTAAAGGTTAACATGTGAGTTCTAGAGCCAAGAGGGCCAGGGTTCAAATCCTAGATGTGCCACCTATTAGCTGAGTGCCCTTGGACAAGTTAACTAACTTCTCTGGGCTCCAGTTTAGTTTTTCATCTGTAATATTTTTGGAAGATTAAACATGTTAATACATTTAAAAGGTGTAAAACAGTGCCAAGAACAGAGTCAGCATTCCATAAAAGCTACCTCTGATTAGGACAGGACCCAAAAGATTTGTATGATATTCAATATACCTTATAGTGTATTATATTACATATATGAATGTGTGACAGCAACAACATACAAATAAAATATAAATGTTATATTAGTTCTATTAACATGAACATATATTTTATTAACACATTAACTCTATGTTAATAGATACTTGTTACATATATAAATATATGAGTCTCATTTTATATATGGGGGGCACTAGGGGTCAGAGAGGTACAGCAACGACCTCGGCGGCACCCATCTCCCTGAAGTTTTGCCAGCCCCATGTCCAAAGCTCTGTCCACCTGCTGGAGCTGTGTTGCTTCCCCTGCTCCGGGTCCTCCCAGCATCTTCAGGGGACCCTGGTCCAAGCTCAGGGACACAGAGCTGCTGATCAGCCAGGCAGGGCTTCAGCCCCTCCTCCATCCCTCACTTCTGGCTCAGGGACAAGCAGCCCATTCTAGCTGTGCTGAGTGAGGCCCCTCCTCCTCCCCCCCAGCCTACTTCGTGGCCTCCTGGGGAGGCTGCTTCCTTTCCTTTTCAGAACCAACTGGTTGCCCCAGGCCTACACCCTGGCACGGATTCTAAACAGCACCCGACCATTGATGCAAAGTTCCAGAGCAGGAAAAAGTGCTGGCTCTGTGCTGCACAGTCAGGAGAGGGTCCCCAGGGAATGGGCTGCCACTGGCAGCCGCACCATGGGGATGTTGGGGTGTGGTCTGTTCTGAGGTCAGGTGCTGGTTACATGAGTGTGTTCAGTTTGTGGCAATTCTACAGGCCATACGCTGATGAAGTGTGCACTTTCCGTACATACACAATAATTCAATAACAATGTACACGAAGACAAAAAGTCTGCCTCACGTTCCGTCTCCAGCACCGGCCTGGAGTAGAAGCCCAGGCCTCAGGCTTGGCTGGAGCTGGAGGTCATCCCCTTTCTTGCACAGCACCTGCATGACCTTGGAAACTCCCCTCCCTGCCTCAGTTTCCCGCTGCTAAATGAGGAAGTGGTCAGTGTTTCTATCCTGGCTGTATGGTAAACAGCTGGGGTGCTTTTAAGAAATATCGATGCTTGGGCCCTAATGCAGACCAAGTTCCTGCACCTTGGCCTTTTAAAAAACACTGTTTAACCATAGATACATAAACATTTCCAACAAAAAGTACAGGATCCTGTGTGCCGTCTCCCTAGCCTTTCCCAGAGATGACATCTTGTACAACTGCAGCACACCATCAATGCTAGGAGAGCAATAGCCCACGGGGCCCATCGGGACTTCAGCAGTTACCCACACCTGTGTGTCCGTGTGATTCCCTCTAACCCAGCCCTGTGTGGCCACCGTGATGATCCAGCACAGTGCTGTCTCCTCACCAGGCTCCCTGGGAACCCTGTGTAGCCCCCTCACCCCTTCCCACCAGCCCTCATCCCTGGCAACTGCCCATCTCTTCTCCATCCCCATCATTTTTTCATCTCTCAAGTGCTATACAAATGGAATCATCCAGCGTGCCACTTTTTAAGACTGGCTTTCTGCACTCAGCCCCATGTCTACTGCATTCAGCCATGCTTGGGCGTGGAGGGTCAGCTCTGCCTTTCTGCTGAGCAGCATTCCCTGGCATGGGCAGGACAGTGTATTTAGCCACTCGCCCGCTAAGGGCATCTGGGCCGTTTCCGATTTGGGGGCTGTTAGGACTCGGACAGCCACAAGTGTTCCTGGAGCAGTGTTTGTGTAGACCCAAGTCTTCACTTCTCTGGAATAAATGCCCAAGAGTCCAGCTGGTGAGTCATACGGTGTGTGTATGACGTGTTTTTAAAGAAACTGCCAAGCTGTTTTCCAGCATGGCTGTACCATCTCACACTCCCACCGGCAACGGGTGAGTGATCCAGTTTCCCCTCGGCCCTCCTGGCATTTCACGTTGTCCCTTTCTATGTTAGCCATTAGGACAGACGTCCACGGCGCCACGTCTAGCAGTGGTTTTAACCTCGTTTCCCCGTCGGGGATGCTGCTGCCCATCCTTCCATGAGCTTCTCTGCCTCCTGCATATCATCCTTGCTGAGCGTCTATATGCACCTTCTGCTTCAGAAGCTCCCAGACCCAATGCGGAACCACTGAATCCCCTCGGGCCTCCCAGGTTTAGACAGTTCTGTCTGATTTCAAAGACCCCATTAGCTGCTGTAAGAATTCTTCCAGAACACCGTGTGCTTTCTGGAAGGAACACTTGGATCCGGGCCCCGGTGTGGAGTCCAGGTGGCCAAAGGCAGCGTTGAGCTGTCTCAGCCAGACGATGACCTTGTGTGTTCCTGAGAGGGAATGGGAGGAAAAGGGAAAGAAGGCAGGGACCACAGGGACAAGGGAGACTCTGGGAGTTGGCTCACAGCCCCGGCAGCTGCCATGACTGGGCTCACCGGCAGCAGCCGGTGAGTGGGCTGGGTCTGTGGTTTGGAGTGAGGGCACGACCCGGGAGGGGCCTGAGGTAGGGATGCTTCAGACTGCCACAGGCCCCAGAAAGGCTTGTGAGAGTAATTTGCCTCAATTTCCAAAGGGGTGGGGAGGCCACAGACCTCCCTGTTCCACCGTCCGCCTCCCTCTTATTAAATAAGTCGCACATATTCACTGTACCAACTTTAGAAAATAACAGTGAAACACAACAAGGAAAATAAAATTATCCACCATTCCAACTCCCTGGGGATCCCCCAGTGTTAATATGTGAGGAGATTTTCTGGCTATGCCTGTGCCTGGGTGTAGATGTGTTTTAGTTACACAAAACTATGCTCCACTCTGTGAAACGCTTTCCCGGATTCACACCATCTCTCCAGTGTGTTTCTGGGTTTGGAAGCATTCCTCCCCTCGCCCCATGGAAAGCTGGTGGAGCCTGGCAGGCACTCCCCCTGCCCGCGGCGGGTGTTGAGCTTGGCTCGGTCTCTTTCGTTGGCCCTGGTAAACAAGGCAGTGGCTTCAATAGGGGTTCTGTGCACAGCCACAGTCTCTCCTTTAGGACCAATTCCTGGCATGGCTGAGGCACAGGCGGGATGTTTTTCGCGCTCTGGGAACACCTGGATGCCCACCCAGAGGTGGGACCAACATGCTCCTAACAGCAGTGGACTGTGAGTATTGGACCATTTTTAGGGCTCCGAAAGTTTCTCTGTTTGGGGCAGAAAGGAGGGCAAGGGGGGAAGTAGTGGGCACCCTTCTACCCTGTCCCCCATATGCCAGGTCCTAGCCGTGTGGCTTATGTGTCATCCATTGGTGTCGACAGCTGAGCTATGGGCTGTGTCACAGATGAGGCGAACAAGAGCATGCTGGGTCTGCATTCCTGCCCCCCGTCACCCGCCCCCCGACATTGCCAGAGAGAAGGGAGCCCAACAGCGATGCCAGGTCCCCCAGGCTCACTGTGCCCCTTGAACTCGGGGATGGGATGCAGTCATCCTTCCTCTCTGGGGCTCCTGAGGCTGAGGTGCAGAGAAGTGAAGAGGTGGCCTCTGGACTTGGGCCCAGGAAAGTCATTGTTTCACCTTGTGGTCTCATTCCATTATCCCCAGGGGGAAGGCTATTTGCCAATGTCACACAGCGGGACCCCAGGGGCCACAGCAGGGCACTCAGGTCAGATGGACCCTGCGGGGCTTTCCAGTGTCCTCACAAGCCACATGACCCTGCCTGAGCCTCAGTGTCCTCATTTGTAAAATGGGGCTGATAAGAGGTTACAGCAAGGCTCCCATGAGCTGACGGCTGGAGGCGCCTCATAAAGTGGCCTGAGGGGCTGCTGCAGCGACTCACATCCTCCTGTCCTGCCCAGGCCTCCCAAGCCCTGAGAAGGCCACAGAAGGCTCCTGTCCACCCACTACCGGCCTTCCTGTCCTGGCTCTGGGCCACAGACCGCCCTGCCTGTGGGCCTGGGGGCCCCACTGGGCACAGTGAGGCAATTGTCCCAGGGTTGGCCTCCACAACCCTCCATCCTGCCAAACTGCCCTACCCAGGAGCTCAGCCAGCTTGCGTCTGGTAAACTCCCTGCTGCAGGGGCAGATGGGAGTCTCAGTGAGGTCTTCCTGGACAGAGAACCCGGGGTGGTGAGGTGGAAGCCCTGGGGTGAGACCTGTCTGGGCCTCAGTTTCCCCATCAGTGTCATGAGGAGTTTGTCTAGAGAAGTGGTTATTAACTTTGGCAGGAAGAGTCTCAGGCCACATTGAAACGATGCTTCATTCCACCTAGTCTCCAGGCAGCCCCCACTTCACATCAGGTGTAAGAGCTTAGCACTGATTCATTTCACGCTCACAACCACCCTGTGACATGAGATATTCTCATCCCCACTTTACAGGTGTGAAAACGGAGGCACCTAGCCATGATCAGAGGCATCACCACCCACGTGGGGCAGGGGCACAGGCAAAATACACAAACAAGGAAACCTCAAGTGATCCAAAAAGTAATACCAGGAGACCGTGGACGGGCAGGGTGGCAGGGCAGGGAGCTGCCCCCACTAACCTGGTCCAGAGCTGCCTTGAGGAGGAGGTGACTACTGAACCAAGGTCACAGAGGGAGGGTGTGGTGTGCAAGGGGCCAGCAAGGACAAAGGCTTGCAGAGTGTCCTCAGAATATCCCAGGGAGGGGCCTTGGGGTACAGGGTCCAGGTCTGGGGTGGGGCTAGGCCAGGCATCTACTGCAGGAACGAACACCTATCTTGCAGAGAGGCCTATCTGGCCCATCACTCCTGCCAAGTAGCACCACCAAGATGTCACCCCACCATCCCAACTTCTTCTGTGACCCCCAAAGGCTCCACAGGGATTCTCTTCCTAAGGCAGCAGCATTAGTTGTGAGTGTCTCGGGGTCAGGGCATGTCCAGCTTCTCCTGGGCTTGTCTGGGTGGGACCAAGGCCTCACCGTGTGGCCTGGAGCCTGACCAAGCCTGTGTATCGGTGTCCTTTGGTCCCAAGCCCAGGACTGCTGCCGAGTCCTAGGCCCAATTCACTGATGGGCAACAAGCAGAGAGAAGTCTTAGTGTAGTACCTGCTTGAGGGAAGGGGGTACCCACAAACCTTGGGGTTCAGCCCTCCCAACCTCAACTCCTTGCCCTGCAAGAACCGTCTGGCCCCATTCCATCTATAGGGCAAATATAGCTTCCAATAAGCCCTCTGGGGTCCGCCTGGCCTTTCTGGGGGGTCCTTCCTGGCTTTTCAGCCTCCCGTTCTCCAGGTGTCAGTCAGACTCTTCAGGTGCTGACAGGATCTCATTTAATTTAAAAGCTTGAGTTTCTTATTCCCATTTTACAGATGAGGAAACTGAGGCTCAGAAAGGCAGAGACCTCCCGAAGCCACCTTAGCAGATAAGTGGCTCCACTCAGCTCCTGACCTGAGCCTGTGGGGCTCTGTCCCCTGCTCCCTCCTCTAGGGTCCAAGAGCACCCAGTCAGCTCAAGAGGCCAATCTCCAACCAGAACACCTTGGGCTCCTCAACCTCAGGATGGAGGCTTGGCTGAGGCGAGTGTCTGAGGGTGTCCTTCCACTGGAGGCCCTCTGGATATTGAGAAAGCAACCCAATCCACCACAGAACCAGCAACTTACACATTCTGAAAATTTAATTTAAAATCGCTAATGCGTACTCATGGTTCAAAACTAAAATACAAAAGTTGTCAAGTGGAAGGTGTCCCTTCTAAATGATCCCCCTCCACCAGGCTGCCAGGCACACAATGCATAATACCTGTTCCCCTGGTGTCTTGTTCCTTACACGGAGCCCTATCTCTTGGGCCCCCTTACAGGATTTCCTTATGTGAATGTAAGCAGACACATATGCACACAGAGACAGGTGGTATCTATGTGCCTGCAATGCATCCACATTCCCCAGGTCTCTTGTTCCTTACACAGACGCCTTATCCTGGAGGCAATGTGCTCCTGCCTTCCCCCAATGACAGACTCTCTGGCCGCTCAGTCTCTGGCACAGCTGCCCATGTGGACTGAAGACACAGCCAGGGGATAGAGGCGGCCTCTGCTTCACAGCCCCCTCCCAGACCTGAGCCCCTGACCTAAAACAGTGATGGGGACACAGTGTACACCTGCTGGTGCAGTGGAGGCCCCAGGCCAGTCTTGGCCCCATAGACTTTTCCATGCCCATTGGCGGGTCTACAGGACAGCCCCCCAACCCACAGCATACCCTCAGAGCTATGCTGCCCTCACATGGCCAGACAAGCACACACATAAGACATACTCTTAGCACCACACACACACAGACACTCCATGCACACGGGCTTTTCCAGTAAGTGGCAGGGAACACCCCACTGTCCCCAGGCCTGGTCTTAGGTGGCCGAGCACAGACAGGAGACGCGCCTGGCACAGGGTCACACAATGAGCAAGGGTTAGGCTAGGATGGGACCCCAGACATCCTGCCAGCCTGAAGGCCCTACTACTGGCACAGTGAAATGATTGGCCCAGGGTTGGCCTCCAATGCCCCTCTATCCTGCCAAATGGCCCTGCCCAGGAGCTCAGCCACCTGACTGAGGAAAATTCCCTGCTGTTTAGGGCTCTCCTTACCCACTCCCACACCCCATGCCTGCACTCAGCAAACACATGAAAGGAAGATCTGCCCCCAGGCTCCCTGCAACTGAGGGCCAGGAGCCCAGACAGCAGGTGACAAAGCAGCTCAGGCTTAACTCACACATCTTTCTCATTAAGAAAAAACATTTTCAGGCCTGGCCCAGTGGCTCACACCTGTAATTCCCGTACTTCAGGAGACCGAGGCAGGCGGATCACTTGAGGTCAGGAGTTCGAGACCAGCCTGGCCAACATGGTGAAATCCTGTCTCTACTAAAAATACAAAAATTAGCCAGGTGTGGTGGCGCACACCTGTAGTCCCAGCTACTCAGGCGGCTGAGGCAGGAGAATTGCTTGAAACCTGGTGGGCGGAGGTTGCAGTGAGCTGAGATGGCATCACTGCACTTCAGCCTGGGTGACAGAGGGAGACTCTGTTTCAAAAAAAAGAAAAAACATTTTTGAATCCACTGTGGGCCAGACGCTGTGCTCAGGCTGGGCTGGGTACTTCCATACAAACCCCATAGAGATGTGAAAGTTAGGAGAGGCCAAGAAAGGTTAGGGCCATGATATGCTGAGTGCCCTTGTGTGCCCGCTATATGACCTCTGTCCTTCCAAACATTCTTGGGGGCAGTGTTGTTTTCTCTCCCACCTTGAGGAGGAGCAAGCTGGGGTTCAAAAAGGTAAAGGAGTTGTCTGAAGTCACACAGAAGGTGATGGCCCTCTTTGGGGCTGGTCAGCACTGTCCAGAGGAGGACCTGGAGGACAGCTGCAGGGAACCTGAAGCTTAATGGGACCGTGGAAGCAGAACCCACTCCCAGCCTGTGGGTTCAAGGTTGTGTTGGTTTCTGGATAAACGGAGAGCCCAACCTGCCTCCCATCCCCCACCATGCATGAGAAGGAGGAGCTGGAAAGCTTCGTCTGAGCGCCGGGGCTTCTGTTTCAGGGGCACAAGATGCTGTCATGGCATGCTCTGTTCCCCATGCATCTGTCTCTGCTTGGGACACAGAGCATTCTTCTGGCACAGAGCTGCAGCAGGGCATCAGGCCTTGGGTGCCCTCAGCCCAGAGGGTGGCTGATGGCTTCGGGCAGCAGTGGAGAGCACTTCCCTCAGTCAGGGGGGTGGGCTGAGCCCTAGGGTGCAGGAGGTGGATGGAGGGGTAGTGCCCTCACCAGGATATGAGAGTGGGGATGGTGCCAGCCTCTGACACAGCCTCTCCTGGGATAGCCATCTCTTCCTGGGCTCCCTCTACCCTTTGGTGCCACCAAGGTCACTGTCCTGAGTCTGACCTCCTTCTACCCCGACTTCCAGACACAAGGAGCTCAGTGCTCCTGGGCTCCTTGCTGGGTGTCCTATAGGGCTCTCCTTACACCAGCAAGACCCACCCCCGGGGCCTATCTCAGCAGTGGCGCTGGCACCCATCAGACCCCCAGGCCAGACCACCATGGTTTACCATGCCTTTGATGCCCTGTTTTCCCCTGCTGCCTCCCAGCCTTGGGCTGAATCTCTGTGGGCACCCTGGGCACCTGTGCTCCAGCAGCTGCCTTGGCCTCCCCTCAGACCACCTCCAGCTTTTCCTATCACCCCCTGCCCACCTGGCACAGGCCTGGCACAGGGGCACCCTCTGGGTGATGTGAGAAAGAGAGGTGGTATGTGGGCTCATGCCTGGAATCCCAGCACTTCAGGAGACTGAGGCAGGAGGAACCCCAGGGGTTCGAGACCAGCCTGGAGAACACGGCAAAACCCAGTCTCTACAAAAAAATATAAAAAATTAGCCAGTGTTGTGGTAGGTGCCTGTAGTCCCAGCTACCTTGGGAGGCTGAGGTGGGAGGATCACCTGAGCCCAGGAATTCAAGGCTGCAGTGAACCAAGATTGGGCCACTATACTCCAGCCTGGGTAACAGAGCAAGACCCTTTCTAAAAAATGAATGAAGGAAGGAAGGGAGGGAAGCAGGGAAGGAGGGAGGGAGGGGAGGGAAAAAAGAGACAACATGGCTGGGTGTGGTAATCCCAGCACTTTGGGAGACCAAGGCGGGTAGATCACAAGGTCAAGAGATTGAGACCATCCTGGCCAACATGGTGAAACCCCATCTCTACTAAAAATACAAAAATTAGCTGGGCGTGGTTGTGAATGCCTGTAGTCCCAGCTACTCAGGAGGCTGAGGCAGGAGAATCGCTTAAACCTGGGAGGTGGAGGTTGCAGTGAGCCAAGATTGTGCCACTGCACTCCAGCCTGGGTAACAAGAGTGAGACTCTGTCTTAAAAAAAAAAAAAAAAGAAAGCGACAATGAGACAACACACACTTCAGGCTAAAGGAGATAATGTGGGTCTCTGGTCACTCTGTTGGTCTAGGGATAACTCTGCAGCAGCAGTGAACTGTGGCCCTCAGGGGGTCACAGTCTGATGGGAGAACTGGGTACACTCAGGGTTGCTGTGGGTGCTACATGCTGGGTTGGTGACATGCTCAGCACTGGCCTCAGAAGGGATGAGGCACCAGCTTGGGATGGCATCCAGGCAGTGGAAATTTCTGTGCTGAGTGCCAGTGTATGCCCAGTACATTACCTCTGTCCTCCCAAACATCCTTGGGAGCAGGGGTTGTTATCTCTCCCACTTTGCAGAGGAGCAAGCTGGGGTTCAGAGAGGTAATGGGGTGGTCTGCAGTCACACAGCAGGTAAGGGCCATCTTTTGGGCCAGTCAGCACCATGGGAGAGGAAGGTGGGAGGTGGAAATGGTCGTGCATGTTGGCGTGCAAAGAGGAGGCAGGTGTGGCCAAAAGGAAGGGAGTGAGAGTGGGAGTAGGGGGCTAAAGAGGGCAGGGAAAGGCCAAGCCCTCTAGTGAACAGGCTCCTGCAGGCAGGCCCGGCACCTTACGCCTGGATCCAGGTTTGATGTCAGTGACAGCAGATGCAGTTGTAGGAAGAGGGGTGACCAATTCCTGCAGTCTCAGGGCCTTATTCCATGCCCTGGCTTTCCACTGATGGGTGGGGTAGCCCTGGGAATAGTCCCCTCCCACTCTGGGCTCATGCTCCCTCTGGATCTGGGCTTCCTGCAAGGGGCCACCTGCCCAAGGCTGGATCATGGGCCAAGGGCACGTCTAAGGAACAAGGATAGGACAGAGGCAAAGCCACAGCTGCTGGGGCAGGGTGGGAGCCGGTGTGTCTGGTCAGCAGCATCAACCCTGCCCCCCGGGGCCTCCAGGACCGGGAGACTCATCAGCCAGAAGCTCCAGGAGGAGCCTGCCACCATGAAGACAGGCACCCTTGGTCCTGAGATGGGCACCCGGAGAGCCAAGACTCAGCAGAGGGAACACGGGGCTGTGCCCAGGCCCCAGGCCCAACACCTGGAGTCTGAATCCCACCTGAGCCCAGAGGGGGCCTTGAGTGGAGCTACATACCTCATGGACCCCAGTCACCTCTGCACATGGGCCCCCGAGCCCTGTACTGCCTCCAGGGTAGTTCCCAGGGTCTCTCCCCATTACCTCCTACATGAGTGCTCTATTAATTGAGACACACACATGCAAAGGTGACATTAATTCCAGCCACAGCATCCCAGGCCACACATGGCCTGGCCCTCCCTGAGAAGTTGCTCTTGCTCAGTAACACCCTGTGCACTTCCCACACCATGGATCGTGATCATCCTGGCCCACGAGGCCAGGAATGGCCCATATTACAGATGGGGATGTGGGACAGAGCCAGCAGCACAGGCGTGACTGCCTCTCCTCCATACCATTCCTTCCCAGGGAGGCTCAGCACAGCCAAGAAGGGTTTCCCCTCCCTGAGGTGCTGGTAAAAAAGATTTCAGGTGGATCTGGAATAAATGATGAGTTTACTCACGTAACATACAATGCCCTAGGCAGTTTTAAAAACATATCTACCACTAGGAATAGAGGAAAGATGAAATGGTAAGAAAAATCGCTCGTTTATAGGTCCCAGTTGGCAAAGTAAGAGGGGGATGTGCCAGCCCAGAGGTACAGCTGAATCCTGAACATCAGGGGTCCCAGGACTTCCCTAGCACAGGGAGTCCCCTGCCCCCACCAAGGTCCACAGAGCCCCCTGACACACAGACCCCACACTCCCCACCCTGTGCTGATGCCAGGGGCCAGCCACCCGGCATGGGGTGCTGGGCTCGCCTCCTTGGTGCCTGCTCAGTCTAGACTTGCCCCAAACTGCCAGGCTCTCCTCTAACTCCAAGCAAAGCCCATGGCCTCTTTCTAGACTTGGTTTATTTACCCCCACCCCAACAAACACACACATTTGAATTCCCCTCCTAATTTCCAGCCCAGTGCGTGGTTCAGTGGGGCCGACCCCATGCTCCAGCTCCAGGTGTGGCCAAGGGAAGGAGGCTGGCCAATCAGCACATGGCTCCTCCTGGGGATAGAGATGGTTTCAGGAATGGCCATGAGCCCCAGATGGAGCAGGGGGACTGAGGCTGCTGAGGGGGCTGGAGCCTCCACACAGGACACGGCCACAGGAGCATGGGAGCCCCTGGAGCCAGCCACACTGAAGCCAGACCATGGGGTATTCACTGACAGTAACCACAGAAATCCCTCTTACTTGAGTTTCTGCTGTTTGCCACCCAAAGGCTCCTGATGGATATGCTGTTACAGCCCTACCTCCCTTCCCTTCCCAGATGTTCACATTTCTTAAGTCCTAGCACATCCTGAAGCCCAGCCCCCTGCCATGAGAATCCAGGGGAAGAAGGGGACAGGAATAATCTCTATAGGTCCCAGAGACACCACAGGCTTTATTATCTCATTCTGTCCTGATGGCCACCCTGCAAAGCTGGAATTATTAGCCTCATTTTACAGAAAAGGAATTAGGTTCAGAGAGGTTAAGTAGTCTGCCCCAAGTCACACAGCCACTGGGCAGCAGATAAGGGGTTCCATGGAGAGTGGTGGATCCTGTCAGGGGAGGTACAGAAAAAGGTTGTGATTATCCCCAGATCTTGAGCCCACCTGGTCTTGGGGAGCTCCTATGAGGCAGCCCGACCTCTCTGTAGCCCAGAGATGGTCAGGGACAGAAGCCTGAATAAGGAAGGGGGCTGGAGAGACTTGAGGGTGTTTCTCTCTTATTTGGTAATGGAGGGCAAATGGGAGGAAAATGCTGTGTTATCGTGGGCCACCGAGAGACCTGATAGACAGGCAGCAAATTTCAGCCAGGGCCTGGTGATTTAGGATGCATCACTTCCCTTAGTAATCATTCCAAGCAGATGCCAGGGATGTCTTGACGAGGAATGAAGCCCTTGGGGCCAATGAAACATTTTTCTATTAGCCGTGCTCAGGTCAGCCCTCTGCTGAGCCACAGGGGTTGCTCTGACAGGACCCTCAACCCTCGGAGGTCAGGCCAGTGCGGCAAGGTCATACCATAGGAGACAAAGGGGGAAGGGACATCTCTGGTGCAGCCTGAGCTCCTCGGAGCCCTGTATCCTGAGCTCACACTCAGGAAATAGGATGCACAGGAGAGGGAAAAGCCGGGGCTCCTGGGCTGGGCAATCTAGTGGGCAAATCCTGGCCCCTCAGAGAGTCAACACCACACCTGGCCTGGCTTCCCCACCGCCCTGTTCGCTGCCCCAGTCCTGCCCACAACCTCACCGGCCATGCCCTGACTTTCCTTCAACCAGTGACAAGTTAATTCACTGACAGCCAATTCATAGAACAGTCAATTTGTAGAATGACAAAGTCATCAAAAGTACTTCCTTCCTTCCCTTAACCTTGTAGCCTTAGCTGACTGGTCCATTTTTGTCTTCAAAATGGCATTTGATGGAATGTTATTTGTCTCTGTCCCAGCTGCCTACTGCGGTGGCAGGAGGCAGAGACAAGTATGGTGACTGTGACATCAGGAACGCTGCCGACACAGGGCAGAGGAGGGCAGGAGTGGCCATCAGCAGGGCTGTCCTGCAAGCCCGGGGGAGCAGGAAGGCACACCTGAGAAGAGGCCTGGGCTGGGGCTGGGGCCCTGATTCTGGGAGGCATCTGAGGACAATGGATAAGACCCCTGCTCCATCAGCCAGCTGATATCCACCACCTGCTGGCAGAGCAGGGTCTTAAACTCGGAACCCCTGGGGGCCAGCCAGGCCCCAGCGGGCAGCAAAAGGGGCTTGTGCTGCCTTTCTGGGGTGAGGGGCTGATCCCACTGCCCCTGGTGGGATTCAGCCTTAGACAGAAGGGGCCAAGGTGTCTCAGGTGTCAGGGAGGGGAGGGCAGTACAGGTTGGTGACCATGTGTACCACCAAGGCACTGAGACTGGGAGGTCACTGGCTGTCTGCTGTCCTCTAGTCACCAGAGATTTCAGCCTGTCAGACCTGATACCTACTCTTACTTTTTTAAAATTAAACTTTATTTTGAGATAATTGTATATTTAATACAGAGAAATCTTATATACATTGTTTCCCCCAACGGTAACATCTGACAAAACTATAGGACTCCATCACCACCAGGATACTGACACTGCAATGTCCCCCCATCTTAGGCAGATTTTCTGATGCCGCACTGTCCCCCGGTCTTAGGCAGATTTCCTGTTTTGCTTATACTGTGGAGCCTACACACATGATAAGGCTGCATAGAACTAAGCACACACATGCACACACATACAGGCACATACAAGTACCACCACAGTCGAAATACACAGTAGCTCCATTATCACAACAATCCTTTGTCCAGCACCCCCTCCTTAACACCAGAGATTTGCACTATCCTCTTCTCTCTTCTCAAATGAAGTTGATGTGTCATGTGATCTATCTAAACACATATTTAAAACAGAACCAAGAGAATGCCCAGATGACAACATTACAAATAAAGAGGAAAATAATTTAGAATAAAATAAAGGGTGATTTGTCACATTAATGGTGGGTGGGCCTATCCTTTAGTCACCTGGCCTGGTCGTGTGACAGCGGCCACAAACCCAGATGGATGCTGGAGTTCTCTAGGGTCTCTGGCACCATGAGAGATGCC